AGCTTGTCATTTGGTGAATATATTATTATTTTCTATTTATTATTTATTATTATTATATATTATATATTAGATGAAAATTATAAAAATTTTATTTATGAAGTGAATGAATATCGAAGAATGTCAAGATATTGATGATCGAAGCAATAAATAGCTTGTCATTTGGTTTATATATTACTATTTACTATTTATTATTTATTATTATTACATGTTATATATTATATGAAAATTATGAAAATTTTATTTATGATGTGAATGAATTGAAGAATGTCAAGATATTGATGATTGAAGCAACAAATAGCTTGTCGTTTGGTTTATATATTATTATTTACTATTTATTATTTATTATTAATATATATTATATAAAATTATTATGTTATAGAACACTCCATCGCCTGACTACGGCGACAGGTTAAATTTAATAAATTAAAAAAGCGAATAGAACCGGACAGTGTACTCACGAGTTTCAAGCAAGCCATTCTCTGTCAGGTGACACTAGGCCGTTCGCAACCTGTAGCAAAAATCCACTAATTTTCCTCCGATCTATCCGCTGAGTTGCCACTGTACGTTCGGCGACGGTCCCGTGTTCTTTTATAAGAAAGGCGGGGTCCCGAGCCGGCGACCCCCAACGGCAATTTTCCCAGCCTTCGTATTGGCTTTCCTCCGTTAACGCTAATAGCTAAGCACCGGCCGCATTGTTACCCTGGAATTATGCGAATGCAACGCGTCATTATGAGAAAAAGAGAGGAGGGCCGCGCGAGCGTTTCGGGATGATACGCGCGACGGCCCGGCGACGGCGACGACGACGACAACGACGACGACGAAGCACGCCCGCCTTGACATCCAAATTCGTCGTCGGAACGGTTCAACGTTCTTACATGTGTGTGTGTGTATGTGTGTGTGGTTTCTCAATTGCGACCGGCTCTCCGTGAAATACGGCGCATAAAAAAAAAGAAGAAATAACACAATGCGAACGATGGAAATTCACTGTTTCGTTGGGAAATTCGCCGGGGAATACCGGCGTAATCATGGTGCCTCCCGTGAAATTAGCGTTCCCGGTAATCATGGGACGGAACCACCGTGAATGAACGCCTCTGCACGGTCATTTCGGGGCCTGTTCGGGGACCGGTGCGCGCTGGTCTGAGCGAGCGTTCTAGCCGGCCGAAATTCCGTCGTTTCGATACGAAGTGATAATTGTAGTTAGGTGCAATTTAAATAGAAAATATGGTGGACATAATTGTTAGTATTTTTTATTGTAATGTATTATTGTAATATAAAATGTAAAATGTAATGTACAATAC